TTATGTTCATTCACAATTCCTAAATTTTCTGTGCTCCATTTCCATAAAAACCTTTGTCCCTGCTCTATCCATATCTTTATACAGAACACACAGTGGACACAGTAGTCCAAAGTGCCTTACAGCAACACAGGTGTGTACATTGTTCAAATGCTTTGCCTCATTAACTCCTAAAACTTAGTTCCAGCTCTGCCAACTCCTACCTCACATTTACTTCTATTTTTATGCAGCCTATTCTCTCCCACTGCCATGTAAACAGCCATCAGAGTTTCATTAAAAGAGACTGACATGAAACAAAAAGGGGTTATCAAGGGAGCTGCACTGTGAATGGCATTTCAATATCTCTGCAGCTTGAATAATGCAGACCACTGTGGTAGCAACAGCCCTGTTTGTGTGTGGACTCTTGTGCTTCCACACATGTGCTTGTATGTGCACATATGGGGACGACTGTCGGTCAGTGGGTAGAGCAGACGTCTCCCAACCGGAGGTTCGAATCTTGGTGCCTGCAGTCCACGTGTCCAAGTGTCCTTGGGCAAGACATTGACCCCCCCAACTGCCCCCGATGGTTAGAGCCATCGGTTGAGTTGGTGTACAGATGGCTGCCTCAGTTCTGTACCGGAAACAAATTCCTTGTGTGTAACATACTTGGCCAAATAAAGGTGATTATCCATATGGAGGGGATAGAATTTGATTTCTCCTGGCAGATGCAGAAGCTGTTTTTTATCTTACCATCCACATTTTGTTTTTGACAAGTAACTGCACATCCTTCATGAGAGCTTTGAATATAACAAACACCCCCTTACTGCAAAGGATTGCCTTTCAGATAATTAGGTAGCACAACAGAGAAGGATGGCAGGTTGGGGGACACAATTGCTGGAGGAGAAAAGCCATTTTGGAGTTGTGTTGGTGTAGCGTTTTGCCTAATCACCACTACCTTTGTGTAAACACAGGCAATATATTAGTAAAAGGGGACAACAAACAGAGGGAACAGGGGGTGTGAATGTATTGAGGTATGTGCTAATATGTCTGCTGTGTGTGAGGCATATGTATGTATACAACCTGCAACCTATCATACAACTGATGGTTGTCTTTGTTAGAGGTTAGTTTCTCATTTCAGAGTAATCAATGAAATTAGTAAAAAAAATTCCCATTAAAAATCTGACAACACAAGAGGACATCTTCAAATCGCTTGGTTTTTTTCCAGAGTCCAAAACTCGAAAGTATTCAATTTTCAGTGACATAAAAAACACATTTGAGAAGCTGAAAGCATCAAATTTCTGGAATTTCTGCTTAACTTTAATGAAAGATGTTTATCTTTTGCTATTTTGCTTTTGCATGTGGAAGCTATTAATTCATTCTCTCCATTGAGATTTTTCACCACTGGTGGTTTTGCCTTGTTGCCCCCCTTTATCTCTTGCACTCTCCCCCTGCACTGGCAGGTTTCCTTTTAATTTAAGGAGATGATGTCTAAGCCACAGTGGGTTTTTGGTGACTTTATAATCTTTTTATCCCTGTCTGGAACAAATTGATCTTAAACAGCAATTTGATGTTTTCTTTCGATATCCTGTACAGTCAGTTTGAAGTAGCCTCCACTTACCGGTGCATATGTGTATAAATATGTTTGTGTGTGGTCACAAAGAATACGTGTGTGAGTGCAGACATTTAGTTCAGTGCTCTCACTGGTATTATGAATTCTCTGATCACTAAGCTCCTTAATGGAGTCTTTACAAGGGCAAATGCAGTTTGATTAAAAATAATTTTTTAAAAAAGTTTTCCACCTCCCTCCCCTTCTACATGTCAGCTGATCACAGCTGGGCAGATTGGGAATAAGTCTTTCACTTTCCATTTTGGAGGTTATCACTGGCGACCTGATATTTTGATATGAGGTACTTGTGAACTGTACGTCGTCAAGACGGCAAAAAGGATTAACTCCACCCTTTGACTCCACATCTGTGCCACACAAGACAAGCAAAGCCTCTGTACTATTGGTAGATTACCTTACACAAAGCCAAATGCCATCTAATGATTATCTGGCAATGTCAGGTGCAGGAGCGGGGGCCTCCCCCGCTCCGGGATCTACTTTCCTGTCACAGTGGTGTCCAGATCAATGGAGCATCTAATTGAGTTTGAGTTGGTAAATTTATACTTATTCCTCCCAAATGTGACTCTTTCTGTGAAATACACTTGATTTGCCTGAAGTAAATTCAGGTGGCCGCTACTGACTCTATTTGATGTTATTTAATAAATCCAGACTTACCCTGAGGATAAGTTGCAAGTGAACAGAGGAAAGAGGTTAAGATGGGATTTTAAATAAACTACTGAAGCTCCTGCCAGAGGAGAAAGTGTAGAAAAGTTGTCGGCAAAGCCTCATATTATCTTGATTTAGATAAAATGTTAATAACATAATGTCACACACAAGTACGTGGCCATATATAAAGACACAATACCAATTTTGATGATGTCATGTTGAATTATTTTAGATACACAGGGTTGTTTCATTTCCTGATAAGTAGCGGTTTTGGGGATGTGAGTTTTCTGCCCGGCAGTGATGTTTTTTTTAGTGAGGCCCTGAGACTAAAACTGATTTTTGAGTTTTTTAAGATGCTAAATCATATTTCACTTAAATTCTTCATTATCACTCCAGTTTTTATCTGGTCACGGATCTACTGAATTAATTAAAATGTAATTAATGTGAACTATAATTCAGTAATATGAGTGTATGTGAATGTGCATGCATGTATGCCCTTGACATTCAGTGCTCATTATCTGCCTTCATGTGGCAATATTGCCAGCAACTGCTTTTCAGAGTGGAATCTGCTGGATTTACCTGTTGAAGTAAAGGCCCTCTGTCTTTTAGCCATGCTATAAACGTTCACTGTTCAAACATGATTGGACCATTATACCTACAAGTAATGGCATCTGGCACAAAGATATAAATACAGAAGGTTATGTATAATGAACAAGGTGATGTTTTTTTTTTTTTTACCAGTTCTCTGCAACATGATACTAGAGTGTCCTTGAGAATGAGAAAGCAAAGCTCTAATATTGGTCCTTGGTGTTAGATCAAGTTTCAAGTGTTTCAATAAAAAATAGTTACTTGAATTTTTTCTATGGTGAACGGCAGAGGTTTAAAGTGTAATATGAAATGACATCAGAATGTTTTAGCTCGTATGCATATTTTATTCACACTTCAGCAGTGTGTTACCTCTTAAACATGACCTCATCACCTAAAAGTGGTTGACTTATGGTTTACTGTACTGTTAAAGTCTGAAACAGCCTTACAGTGTGTGTGTTGTGATGATTCATTTCTTTAAATGTAAATGCTCTGTGTTCTGCACATTGACCTTTCTGTGCTGTCCTGCCCACCAGCACTGCCTCCAGTGCCATCTTTATATGTCACCATCTATTGATTTGTACGCACACAAAATCCATAAATCCATGATAAATGTAATGAGGTCTGATTTTGATGGGCTAGTGTAATAGCATGCACTGTGGGTTCACCTGAAGTAATGGCAGCGATTTATCATACTGTTATTAATGGGACTATAGCTAATATAAATGGCAGTGATTAGTGAGGGCTGACCTGATGCAGAGCTCTGTGGGAGTGAACTCCAAGGCAGCGATCAATCAATAGATTAACAGTGATGTCTAGGCCTGTTCATTTGAAGATTCCAGTGTGAGACAGCATGATATTTGTAGTGCCACCAGTTCTCAGATCTGAAAAGTAAATGAGGAATGAAGAAATAAGGAAGCAAGGAGAATGCTGTCTGGAAGAAAGGAAAGAGAGAGGAGCAGAAACCCCCTAGTTTATCTTCTGTTTTTGTGTGTGTGTCTAATATCATAAAACAGACACACATAGTTTATAGATTTGGCAAGTTGGCACATGGAAGTATATGCTTTGACAGACACGCTTTAACTTGCACACATCCACCCACAGTGAGGTGATCCCAGTTTCAACAGCAATAATTTCTCTTTACACCATAAATAAAAATAACAAACCAGGGTCACTTGTTGCTAATGCAGCGAGAAAGTGTGTGCATTGTTTATAACAAAGTCAGCAGCTGAGAAATTACTCTGTGTGAAATGATTTGCAGTTCCAACTGAAGTGTTTCTAAACTGAGGTTGCTGAGCTACCTGCACCTAATGATGCAGAAGACACTAGATGAGGTGAGATATAGGCTGTGAGATCTGAGCGATGACAACACATCAAGGCTTCACTCATAGCTTTTCTTCTTGAGTGTTTGGCTGATAAATGGGATTTGGAGCGCTCTTGACTTGATAGTTACACAACACCCCTCCTCATCATTAACACAGTTTCCCCTTCTTCTCTCTGCCTTGGTGACTTCTCTCACTTCTTACCCCGATTAAGGAGTTCAAAGTCCTTCCTGAAGCTCCCTGCTGGGATTTCAGTTTCATCCCCCTCACACACTTTGTGTCCCTTATTAGATTTGTACAGCATTTCATTCCCAATTTTCTTGCCCTTTTTTTTGTGGTGAAGGCAAGTGTCGATGTCCAGTTACTCATACTCATTCACCAGTCTTACCTACATTGCTTGAAAGGTTTAATGCATGCTATAAATAAAAATATTTGACACATGGAAAATAAATTCATACCAAAAAATAGTACAGCTAAATTCATCTGTCTGCATAAAAGTGATGAGCAGCTAACAAACTAGCAAGCCAGAAACATGCCAGCACTAGCCAATCACAATAGCTCTCTGTGTACTTTGTCATTTTACTAATAAAAACTAGTTCACACAGTTCATTTGACAGGTTTATATCTTGACTCCTGGCTCATAAGTCTCTTAAAAACAACTGTACTCCAACAGAGGAGGATTTATAAAATTGGATGAACTTTTTGTACTGTCCTCTCTCACTCAGCGCATCTCTAGAATCTCTGCTTGGAGGGACGTATGAGGACAAACAGTATAATCTTTCCTAAGACATTGAATCACTGTATGTCTCTGAGTGTATTAACTTTATGAATCTTTCTTTCTCCTTTAGGATCCTGCTGACAGTGGTGGTGATCTTCCGTATCCTAATCGTGGCCATTGTAGGGGAGACGGTGTACGAAGACGAGCAGACCATGTTCATTTGTAATACGCTGCAGCCGGGCTGCAATCAGGCCTGCTATGACAAAGCCTTCCCCATTTCCCACATCCGCTACTGGGTCTTCCAGATCATACTGGTGTGCACTCCCAGTCTCTGCTTCATCACCTACTCCGTCCATCAATCAGCGAAGCAGAGGGAAAGGCGCTACTCTTTTCTCTATCCCATAATGGAGAGGGACTATGGGGGTAGGGACGGGGCGCGAAAGCTCCGCAACATTAATGGGATTCTAGTTCAGCATGGTGGTGATGGAGGAGGAGGGAAGGAAGAACCCGACTGCCTAGAGGTGAAGGAGATCCCCAATGCCCCACGGGGCCTCACCCATGGGAAGAGCTCCAAGGTTCGCCGGCAAGAAGGGATCTCCCGCTTCTATATCATTCAGGTGGTGTTCAGAAACGCACTGGAGATTGGCTTCTTAGCGGGCCAGTACTTCCTTTATGGCTTCAGTGTGCCTGGGATTTTTGAGTGTGACCGTTACCCATGTCTGAAGGAGGTGGAATGCTATGTGTCCCGGCCCACAGAAAAAACAGTGTTCCTGGTTTTCATGTTTGCGGTGAGCGGAATCTGTGTGGTGCTCAACCTGGCCGAGCTCAACCATTTAGGTTGGCGCAAGATTAAAGCTGCCATCAGGGGCGTTCAGGCCCGCAGGAAGTCTATTTGTGAAATCAGGAAGAAGGACATGGCACATTTGTCCCAGCCACCCAACCTGGGGCGCACACAGTCCAGTGAATCAGCCTACGTCTGACCATGAGGAGAAGAAAAAGAAGAGGGGTGGGATGAATGTGCAAGAGAGAGGATAAATTAATTATAATTTTAATTTAATGAAAATGCTGTGGAGGTCAAACAAGGTGACATCTTCTCTGTGATGATGAAATGAAACAGAATGTAAAAAGACCAAACCAGCTCCAGCTGTACAACTTTAAGAATTAAGAACAAATAGAAGAAAAAGAAAAATGACAAAGCATAGAAGACAATAAAAAGTTCTCTTTCTCAAATGAACATGATGATCTACGTCTCACAGGGAAATATTCCAACTGCCATTTTATACTCTTGTCTTTTATAACTAATTGCATTCTTCTCTGCCCTTCGTTCCTTTTGATGGGAGGTACACAATCTATAAGGGGGGGAAGAGGGCAGCACTAGAGAAGAGGGGAAAAGAAGAGATTAGACAAGAGACTGTTTTGTGTTTTGGGGGGATATTGGAAGATGACAGCGGTGTTAGACGCATCTCACGGTGCTTTTCATCTGGATTGTGTCAGCCTCAGTGAAAAAAGGGAAGACAGGACAGGGAGGATGAGCAGCAACATCAATAAAAGAGGAAAGGAAGAACAGTCAAAGCCATGACAGAAAGAGAATGAAGGCGAGCATGAAAAATAGTAGGAGGCAGACATCACACTCTGGGAAAACATATGAAACAATTGAGGACTGAGAGAAGAGAGCGGACATTTTTCTTTTGCTTCCTCTCCTTGCCGGAGACTCGAGGTAGACTGAAGCCAAGAGGGAAGGAGCTGCCTCTGATCAATGTCAGCATCGCCTCCACTGGAATGTCATCACGAGCCAAAACCAAGTGAAGAAGACTGATGATGTTTATGTTTTGTCTCTTGGCAAAAGATAATTTTAACACAAACACATCAAGTACCATAAACACTTTTTTTTCCTCTCCTCTATCTCTCGCTCTCTCAGCTACACAGATGTGATGACCCTCACTGCTCTCCTGCTACGTAAATGTTGGAGAAGGACCAGTGAACAAATGAACAAACAGTGTGTAAACATCAGTGTCTCCTGAAGCAAAAGCCAAACTTCCCTCATTCCAACATTCCCGTTTGCTGATGGATGACGTAGAAACAGAAAGGGGAGGAGAAAGACGACAGGAGCTTGTAGAGAGAGGAAGATAATTTTATCACAACTAATTTTATAAAATATATCACCAAGAGTTATAAATTTTTTTGAGAAAGCAATGGTGCCATCCATGAAAAGTTATGTAAAGTATATCAGCGTAATGTTATGTAGAATATAGCCAAATAGATTTATTTATCTTGTGAGCAGGTTGGTTGGGACATGATGTTGCTGTTTTTTTAAATGTGTAAATTGTCTGTACTTTTTTTTTTTTTTAAACATTTTCATTTAGTTTTAAAAATTTCTCACTGGTGGAACTGATTAATGCCATGTATGAGATGGGAAGGAACAAGTCTGTGCGCCTTTGAGGCTGTGCAGTGGATTTTGTTTAGCAACAATTTAAGAAAACTGAATTACAATTGTTGCTTAATTGCATTCAAAAATGCATAACAATGCAACTGGTAAACACAACATCTATGTGTTTCCACCAGAGAAGCCTTGGTTTTCTTCAACATCACCTGCACAGCTTCAGTCACTTAAGACCTGTGAGCCATTTGAAAAAGTCATGTTTACACAACACAGTGTTTCTTGAATGAACAAGCTGTGTAGCCAGTTAGCAGTCACTCTCTAGCATTTTGCATTTCTTTCTTGACTGGTTTTCAGCATGCATACCTTGTTACAAAAGAGTAAACAGAGAGTGTTGCACCTTGATTAGCGTAGACATGTGGGTGAGTGGCAGACCGAAGGAGCACATGTTGGGGTAAAGGCTGCGTTACTGGACACATACAACAGAGCATCATTTAAAACAATGTCTTTACTTAAAAAAAATCATGTGAAATTGACACGAGTACACACAGAAACACATCAGAGCAGCATATTGTCCCATTCCTCTGTGTGAAGGAGGCTTGGGTGACTGACACAAGCACAAAGAAAACAATTATTAGTGTTTAGGTACAGTGAGGTTGTCAGTACTGCAGCAGATCAGTGGTCTGCTCTTTAGCCCCTTCATTTAGGTGTGTCAACTGAGAATCATATACCCCTGCAACATGTGTAGCTCAACACTGTTGTTGCCCTTGCACTGCCAGATGTGGTGATTTACAGCTTACAGAAGCCACCCTGCTCTCTCATACACTCTGAATGAACACGTTAGTCAAATGGCAGAATGTTTTAACAAACTGCAGCTACTGTGTATTATCTTATTCTAACCATTGTTGCTGCAGACAGTAAGTATCCAATTACTCTGTAACACCATAAACATGTTAGTCAGAGCTATATTTGGTCTTGGAGCAGCAGCTAATAGGAAAAGAAATCCCCTCAACACTCCGTTTCTTTATTCACTTCCATTGTGATCATTTCTTTGATTCTTACGTGTTTAACGCCAGATTTAGACTTCTCCGAGGGTCTCTATGGGGCTCAGATTAATTGGTGCAATCTACTGCATGCACTAGGAAGGACATACTGTATACTCTAACAGGGCATGGCAAAATGCCTAATAATAGGCTGAGTCTTGGATTCCCACACTTACTGAGAGCTTGTGCTTCTAGCGAAGGCTTAAACACCAACCTTGATCTTATAGGCCAAGTCAATGTCCTGTACTATATGCAGCTCCTGCCAGAGAGTCGCTGCGCAATACAGCTCTTAGCTAATCTCCACAGAACACAGGTCAGTGCTTGTGCGACCACTAGTTTTTGTGAATGGTGCAACATGCGGAAACATCATTTATTACAGAAAAACCAGCAAACCTGCATACAGAAATAGCAGTTTGAGCTCAATTTACTCTTCTTGGATTCTTTCTTCATGTCTGGGTTCATTCAGGTCAGAAACACACACACACCATAAGGACATAGAGAGCCATAAATGTGTCCTGGTTTTCTTCAGTTTACATTTATACAGTGTTCATTACTGAGTCATGACTCAGACTGCAGTTCTACAGTCAGCGGGTACAGCACTTTCCACAGTAAAAGCAGCTCCCAGATCATCCAACAGTCTGTCACTCGCTACAGTCTATGTTTCTATTTGTGAGTGTGAAATGAATTATGCATTTTTTTTTCCTCGTTTGCTTATTTTTAGACTTGTGGATTAATTTTTTTGTCTATTGCTCTTTTTGCGAAGTGACACAACAAAAAAAGAAAGATGTTTTTGTGTGTAAAAGAACAAAAAGTTTTTTCAGTGTGTAAAAACAAGGGTAGAGTTCAAATATAAGACTAGCAGAAGATATGTTATATGTCCTCCCTTGCCAAAATGATATGCAAATTTCATCAAGATTTTTTAACTGCATGTGTAATGGCTAAAACAAGCATGTTTCTATGTTTTTGTCAACAGAATCTTTAAAGGACAATATTTTTAGTCCAAACTTTGGAGCCAAGCTATTACGTCTTGATGCCAAGTGTGAATATTAATTACCCAGTTTTTCAGATGGTACAGAGCCAGGCAAGACAATAACAACTCAGCGATGTTAAAACTACCTGTTACAGATTATGAGTCTGTTTCTATCACCAAAAGATTTGGAAAACCACTACATACAGTAAAATCTTCAACTGTAAGAAATGTGCACATGAATATACCTTTGTAATGTGTTGTAGAAGGTATTTTGATCTATAAGCCAATCAGTCGCATAATACGACACAGGGTACACAGGATTATAAGCGCGCAGAATAAAAACTAGCACCAATTTACACCTTTTAGCATGTTAAATCTGATGAATCCTCAGAGAAGCTCCTTATGGGCAACATATTGGGGTACAGTACACTGACAGATGACTCAGGAAAGAAAACAATGCTGATCTTTTACACCAATCTTTTCTAGGACAAATGCTGTTTCTACATTAAGCAAGAACACTTTTATATGGTGTTGCAACATATCAGCATACTTTCCATTTACCATCTATCCTTGTGCTGTAAAGCTCACCCAAGAAAACTGTCTTCAAGCCTGATTATTTACCTGCTGGTGCTACTCAGGTCGGGCTCTCTGCTGAATTCAGATACATTTCCTTGTCTCCAGCACACTACTGCCCCACAAACCACAGGTCATGTAGCAAAGCAGATTCCCTTAGATATCAAGCTGTTTCTCTTGACTGTTACTAACAAATAGGCATGTCAACAAAAACCTAAATGATTTTATAAACCTCTCAGTGAACTTCAATGCAAAGCAGAACAGTAGCAAACAATTTGATTTCTCAGGAAAGCAGCATATAATCAAGCTGTTTCATTTATCAACAAGCTCACTGAATGACTACATTATTCTTTAAGCTGCTGCCAGAAGGACCTTAGATTACATTAGTAATCACATTATGTAGCTATAAGGACTGATTAGTGGCCATTGAGCAAGTTTTGAAAACATCAATTTTTACTGATTACAAACTAAAAACTCAGTTTTTTTTTTTAAGAAAGACATTTCAAATTTGACTTGGCATTTTGAAAGGGTATAATGTGCACTCATGGGCCTATATAGCATTCAATTAGATATTAATTTTTGCATTTAAATTGACATTTATCTTGGCTTCTTTCAAATAACAAGTATGAAAAGCTTTTGCTGTGTTTACCCCCAGTGAAAAAAGTACATTGTAAAACTTTATCCAGATGACTTCAGTTTTCCTTTTTATTTAGAAATAAAATGCTCTCTCCTCCTCCCACACCTTTGTCTGCTATGGTGCTGCTGACCTGTGGGTGAGATTATTATAACCACAGGGTTCAGTCATGAAATCAAATAATGATGCTGAGTGGCAGAGGGGAATTTAAACCATTCAGATTTGACCAAATAGCCTTCAAGCATCTTTCTCTTTCTCACCAACACTACCACAGCCTATACTGTACTTTCCACTGCTTCTCTAACACTGCCACTATTCTGTCATGATGCATGCCTGTAAACTGTGTCAGAAGATGGTTGCTACAGAGAGAGGTGAAGCCTGTATGGAAATGTGTCAACAAAGTGGGGGAGCAATGTCATATTTAGCCAATATTTGGCAACTTATAGTCGTGATCAATATTTAAGGGGTCAGAATAGGAAAAATAAATAAAATCTTAGCCCGAGGAACTTGTCATTCTTCACCATAGCTTCTACTGTGACACCTGTACAGATGTAAAAACACGGACTGAAAGCAGGAACAATGAACTACACACTTACACATGTTCACGCTTTGTATCCTTCATCTGAAAATCTGTTGTTTCAGACTGCAGATTTTATGGTGTAACTGACAGACCTTTGTTAAAGGTTCACTGTATATTCCTGACTGGTGTACTGTATGTAAAGGTTGAATAAAACCTTGAATAATACATCAGGCCTGAACTGGCCTTGTGCCTAGTGGTTTATAACCTGTAGACATGGGTGTATTGTTTCCTGTACAATATGTGTGTATAGAATACATGAATGGGTGGGTATTTGAGCATGTGGGAGGGATAGGATTTAGGAAATAAAAACATTCTGTGGTGTGAGTGAAAACAAGTAAATGTGGCTACAGCTTGTACTGATACAGGTCTATGTAGAGCTGACTGACTTTACAGATACAGTGGCTTCGTGCAGCCTAGCTGGTTGGCATAATGAC